CCCTGCAGTACATGACCTGTGCAGCCTAGGAACTGTATGCTGCTGTCGTGTGCAGATCCTGGTCCCCCTGAAATCGGATTGCACTGAGCTAGATCAGTTCTCAATCTTCTTAGACTCAAGGTACCCTTTGGAAAATGCCAGCTCAGCTTTCCCTCTTTTAACTACACAAATTGTCTTGTTGACAAGCATTCAGAAATGTCACAGTGGGTCAGAATGTTTTTGATACTGGCCAGATACAGAGACTCTGAAGTAACTTTCCACTCTTCCCCACCTGTTAGCACTAACTCTTCCTGTAGTACCCACGGTTTACAAGGTGAACTTTTCCTACAGGAACTGGACTTGTATCTATTTTCCACTGGCAATGATGCAGGGCCCACATGGGCTATCAAAACCCTTGTGGAAGCCCTAAGCAGCACTAGCACCTTCCACAACACTTAACTTCTGTTTGCATTGTTCATCTGACTGACCAGTAGTAGTAGTACTCAATGCAAATGTTTCTTCCACAATCCACTACTCAGAGTGAATCTTGGACTCCTGGTGAGAAATTGATCTATGGCACACCCTTTCTTGGGGCCATAAATCTCTGAGCTTAAGGTGCTTTTCCCAGGAATGTCCATGTGCAGTGGCAATACATAGGGGGTGCACATGCACCCCTGAGAGCTCCAGTGCACCCCCTAACTGGCCATGTTCACTGCTTAGGCAATGGGCAGGGGGGCAGGTAGGAGTGCTGGTGCCCCTCTGAGCGCTGGCCGGGGAGAGAGAGCCGTGGCGCTCCCAGAAGTGGGCACAGCCACGTCTGGAAGTGGCTGCAGCCATCGGCTGCCTTGCAATCAGCCACAGGGGGACCCCTTCCGCACCCCCTCCAGCGAGATTTGCCACTGGGGGGGGGGAGTACATGCCCCCCCTGACTCAGGTGGCACCAGTTGCTCATGTCCACATGGACTTACTGGCCTGGGTGCACATGCTGGACTTTGATAGCCTCAATTCTTTATTTTCTAATGAGGTAGCAGTTGCCCGAGCTCTGCCTCAGTTAGGCAGCTTTCTGCCTAATAAGGTGGTATCATTGGGTGTTAGCAGTGTTGTTGCTGTTGTCCTCATCAGGTGTTATTGACCTGTTGTCAGTGTTGAAGTGTCTCGGGAACTGCGGTGTCAACAAGTTTCAGCTAGGAGATTCCAACACCAATCTTGTCTTAAAGAACAATCACAGGTTCAGTTTGGTGGCAAATATTCAGCAAGGTTTATCGTCTGCAAGCACAGCCTTAACACATTTTGGCTTAACAAGTACATCAGATCAAGAGCTAAGGCATTTGTACCCGTGACAAGGTAGTTGGCACAACACTATGCAGGCTCCCCTAGGCCTCTACAAAGTTTTTCTGCTTTCCAGTTCCCTTTTTATATGATTAAAGCAAATTACATCTTGCATTCCATCTGTACCTTGAACATCTCATACCATCCTGTACCAGGGGCTTGCTTTATATTCTGACCTGGGTGTTCTCATTCCAGACTCATCATCCTGGTACTGTATTCTCCTACCTTGTACAGCCATCTCCCCCTTCCTATCTATTGGTGGAGATGCACATCTGGTTTACAAGCCAAGTTTTGTTTTTGTGAGGAATTTATACATCAGTAGGCTGGTGAGCCCTACTCTGACCAATGCTTTAGCAAAGCCTTTGTGTGAGCAGCAAATATAGATCAATGTTCCAGTGAGGCCTAGAGGTGGCACTCATGTCAAAAGGAAGAACTTCAGTGATAAATGACCAGGTAACCAATGCAGCCCATCAAATGCACCTCTTTGTCAATCACATTATTAAATAACCCATTATTAAGTAACAACCTGTTCAGATGATCTAAACAGGTATGGATTGTATTAGTAAAAAGCCAATTGTACAGCAAAACAGAGAAGAAAGAAGCATAAGAAAAGATCAGACACACAATTGTTTAGCAACCTTTCTTTCTGCTACTTTTCCTGTGTAGTCAAAGAATGCAGTGGTAGCACATCTGTGTCTTTCCAAGCCTGTTCCCAAAAGAAGTGTCAGAGGGTCTAGTTTATATAGTAAAAGGTATTGATTCCTAGGGAAAAGACCAAAAGTGTTGTGTGATTTCTTAGTTCTGGGATGATTGAGAACATGTTCAAACCAGTTACTTAGTAGACCAGATTTAACACAGGGAAAGATTTGGTTTCAAAGAGGATTTTTTTGTCTTCATCTGTCTTACTATTAATTAGATTTTCCAAGATGGGGTGTGTACACTAGCCTATAAATTAAGTCCTCCCCATGTGTGGCAGGACACTGTTTGTGCCTGCCACTTTAAGGGCCTGGAGCTGGCAGCCAGCGGGTGCCTGATGAGGGCAGCCATTTTGAATCTTGGGCTGCCCATATAAACAAGGCAGTTTTGCTGCCTGGAGTCTGGGTAATAACACTGCCAGGCCAGAGGGTGGCTGGTATCATCTGGAGGTAAGGGAGGTGCTGTAAAGGAGGCTCCTGGTCCTGGGTATGACCTAAAACTGCACCTAAAACTGCTGGGAGTGGGTGGCCTGGTGGGGCTCCCAGTGGTGTGGGAGCCCCCAGGAAATACCAGGCCAGTTACCACCCAGGTGAAAGGTGAGTTGGGGTACCTTGACCCCTAGCCCCTACAACTAGGTGAGTTACCCCTTGTTTGGAGGCTCTAGAGGGTGGACCCTGGAGAGAGGGAAAAGGACATAGACTTGTATCTGTCTTGACATCCCCTGACTGGTCCATGCTGGGGCTGGGGCCAGGACCAGAAGGGTCAAAGGACTGGGGGCCCACTGCAAGGAATACCCAAGAGCTGTGCACCTGGGGTTTTGACTGGCCTGGAGGTGGGCCAGGGCTAGTGAGCCAAAGGTCCTGGGGGGACTGCACCTAAAGGGGAGGCAGTTCAGGGAGCTATGCTGCCTAGTATGAAGGTGGATGAGACTGCCTGAGGAAAGGAATCCAGGTGGGGTTCAGTTAGGAGGATTCCGGGGCCCAGTGTGGGGGTAGTGATTATGATACCATCTAGATGCCATCAGTGAGGCTTGGGCTGTGGTGTACGGGAGGAATGGAGCTGCAGATAGCACTCCCTGGTATCAGGGCAGGAAATGGGTAGCCTCCCACTTAATTACATCATTAACTAATTAATTCCAACAAGGCATGGTAGGCAAGAAGGCAGGTGGTTAGCCCAGAAACAGGTGGGCAGGCCACAGTTAAATCGGCCCTGAGAATGGCCCCCGTTACACCATGGTTCTGGTTCTGGTTCTCCAGATCCCTATACATCTAGCACTGTACGTATGAACTAATGGATATTCTGTGATCCATATTGGGCAAGGTAATCCTCCCTAATAATTAAACTATCATGGACACAGCCAAAATAGTCTGGCCAAATTTGGCTACTTGACTCCTACAGCTACAGAGCTTGATAAACATTACCATGTGCCTGTCATAAGTTTGAAATTTGTGTATATTCATCAAGCACCATATCCTCAAATTTGAGCAGCCACCTGTAAGGAGGCTGAACAATATGAAAGTTAGCTGAAAGACTGAGCCAAGTGTGACTTTTTTTTTTTTTTTTAGGGGTGTATAAAATTAGTTTCCTTTGTAAGTTGCCTCCAATTCCTGGCAATCCTTTACAGTCCTGGTAATGGAGAAACAGATGGCTGCTGCAGGTTGCCTTAGGTGCAGTGGACAGTATCTTGCTTGATGGTAATGTGTGGTGATAATGTAAAGTGGCCATCATTCCAAGGCCCAGTCTTTGTCTATGAGGGCTAGAACACAGTGGGGTACTTCTCCATCAGAAGAGTAGAGCTTTTTAGTGTGAGAATACAAGGCTCAGCATCATCTCTTCTACTACCAGATGTATGCACAAGTATCCAACTAGGCATAAACATCAGCCTTACCATATTTAGGAACTAGCTAGTCAACCTGACATATCCTACATAAAGCCAACAGCACAGTGGATTATATTAACAGCTGTCACCTACAAATCAAGAGAACTGATTCTTCAACTATTTAGTAGTGATGAGGCCTCACGAGGAGCACTGTGTCCAGTTTTGGGGTGCACACTTCAAGACAGATGTGGACAGTTTTTAGAAAGAGCCCAATACAGAACAACAAAAATGATTAGAGGCCTAGGAGGCAAGACTTGTGAGAAAAGGCTGAAAGAACTAGAGTTAGACGGAAGAAGAGAAGACTGAGGGGGGGATTTGATAACAGTCTTCAGATACCCGATGGGTGAATATAGAGAGGATGGAGGTGGCTTTTTCTCTGTGGCTGTAGGGGACAGGACTAGGAACAATGGCTTCAAGCTATTGTGGAGGGAGTTTAGGCTGGAGATTAAGAGGAGCTTCTACAGGGGTGATCAAGTATGGGAACAAGCTCCTTAAGAGAAACTGTGGAATCTCCATCCCTGGAAACTTTCAAAAGCAGGTTAAACAGACTTGACTGGGACAGTTTAGGCAGGGATGATCCTGCCCTGAGCAAGAGGCTGGGCTAGAGGACCGTGGGAGAGCCTTCCAACTCTGTTTTTTCTATGATCCTTTATAGACCATCAGAACCAACCAAGACAGAGGCTCTACACAAGTTCCCATCAACCCTGCCACAACAGCCTGGGAAGCCCTGGCGAGGCGGCAGCATCCGGGGCGAGGGGAAGCCTAAAGCAAGTTTAAAAAATGTTGGGGCAAATCCTGCTGTCCTTCCCTTCCAACGACAGGATCTGGCTGGGTGGCTAGTCCCCACCCCGAGCGCCCCCTTCGTTGCGAGTCCTGTCGGTGTTGCTACACTTCTGTTCCTCCGCGAACCCACGCCTCAGCCCTCCCCCGACCCCCCACGCGCCCTGCAGGCACTCTCTGAGGAACTAGAGCGAAGGGGCGGCGCTAAGAGCCAAGCTCCGCGCAACCCCAAACATTCCTTCTACTTCCGCTGCTGCGGCCATTTTCCGCGAACGGACACTTCCGGCGGCAAAGAGACTGGGCGGTTCACGTGACCGCTCATCCTCACGTGACTCCGCGGCGCCCCTTAGCTGAGCCGCGTGTCACGTGGCGGGCGGGGGATGGGGGAGTCGATCCCGCTGGGCGCGCCGGTGCCGGTGGAGCAGGCGGTGCTCGAGACGTTTTTCTCCCACTTAGGCATCTTCTCCTACGACAAGGCCAAGGACAATGTGGAGAAGGAGCGGGAGGCCAACAAGAGCGCGGGCGCCAGCTGGCTCTCGCTGCTGGCCGGCCTGGCGCACCTGGCGGCCGCCGAGAGAGCCTATCACAGCATGACCTTCCTGGGCCAGAAGCTAGGTACCGGCCGGGCGGGGGTGGGGCTGGCCCGGCTCTCTGCTTATGGGCGGGGGCCCCGCGGGGCGTGGGCGCTGCTCCTCCCGCTTTGCCTGCCCGCCCCCTTGGGGCGCAGACGGGCCTCGAGGTCTCTCCTGGCGCCGGGAGTGACGTCAGAGTAGCCCCTAACGGCCCCTGCTGTCCTTCCGCCTGACGTTACAGAACCTCGAGGCCGCTCGACTCCTAACGGTCATAAACGGTCTCTGCAACTACCCCACCCCCCCGCATCTGTTCCTCAGGGGGAGCTAAGAAGCTCTATGTACAGCCCCCTGCTTTGGGCTGGTTGGTGCCCCCCAGAGGTTCCACAGACCTTTCTCAAGGGCCTCCTGTTTCCCTTTCCACCTGCCTATGCCCCAGGAAGCAGATTGGAGGGCTGCAGGGCAGCCACTTGCCCCCTGGGGGGTCTTTGGGAGCCTGGTGAGGGTGCCATCCTTTCTCAGGTGCCTGCATTAGCCCAGTGATATGTGCAGACATAGTTTGTGGGGTAATCCTGCACATCTCGCATAGGCGTTCCCAGGCCTTAAAGCCATCCTGTTCTGTTGAGAGCTTTCTGAGCCTACTGCCCCAGAAGAATTGCTCCTGGGTTTTTCTGTAGTAAAAAGTGGAGTACAAGCTAAGAGCTGGCACTTTCCAAGTGCTGCCTTGTGTCTGCTGAAGGAGGCCTTGGGGGGGTGCTTCTTAAAAGGTTGAGAATCCCTATCCTTTGAGATCTCTTTTCTAAGAGCTATATGAGATTGAGGGAAAGAGTCCATTTTACTATCCTGCTGTTTTTTTTAAAGGAGTAAATTTAGTGCTTGTGGAAAGGGCAGAGCTGACAGATCCAGAGACAGAAGTGCTGTTTGGTTGCACATCCTGAATCACTGCAGCAGTTTGGAGAAGCTTCTGTTCCACCAGCATGCCCCTCCCTTGACTTGGGGAGACCACATCTAAGTTTGAAAAGATAGCATCTTTATCCATTCAGTTTTCTGCCTCTCTGCTTGAGCTTGCCACCAAGGGCATCAATTAGTAGATGAGGCTTTTCACATTGATACCTGCAAGTTTTGATTGCTGTTGACCTAAAATGGATCTGGACTTGCTGCTTAAAAATGAAAAGGCATTGCGAATTCCTTTTGCCATTTCGGAGCAGACCCTAACTTCTGAATCCTTTCTCTAGAGTCCTGTAAACACAGTCCTTGTGGTTTCATGCACTTGCTATGCCTTTCACTAAAAGGGTGGGAGATGAAAAAACCAAAAACACTGGCTTTGCGAATACTTAAACTATTTATGCATGCCCTGTCATTGATGCTCATTAAAGTGGAATTGAAAGATACCATGGTTCTTTCTTACAAAGGTGGCAGGGGTAGATGTTCATATTACAGACTAAATCAGAGAGATAAACAGCATAAGCTTTTGTGAGCTAGAGCTCACTTCATCAGCCACTGTGAAAGGACATGCACAGAACATTTTAGAAAATTGAGAGAGTGATTTGAATATCAAATATAATATAAAACAGGATGATGATAACCCAGTTGTTTTAGAAGGCACTTCTGCTTTCACTGAATCGAGTTTTAAATTTCCAGCTTTGGGTGCTGCAGTTTTACATCTGGATGCTCAGTTGATATCTGTCTTTTTTTCTGTGTGAAGTTCTCTGACATAGATGTGTGAAAGTCACCTTAGGAAAGCAGATACTCTAACAATATCTGGAATTAGCAGTAATGGTCGGACAAAAACTGAGTGTTCATCACCTGTGCCACAACTGCATTATACAGTTGTGCAGCTTAAAATATAAAAAAAAATCCTGTCACTGTTAAGTGGTGTCAGACCTGCTGAAGTTAGATAACCAGACACGCTGACCTTGAATAGAGAACAAGCCTTCATTTGTAAAAGTGGCTGGTTGCAGAGCTTTGAGGCTGCTAGAAATAGTGAGGGTGTGTGCGTTTCCTTGTTTTATTTCTCTGTTGTTTGGAAAATTCAGTCTTTGAGTTACCAAATATTAAAAAACTTGAAATCCTGAGAAATGTTGTTTCATTAGTTATGTAAAGTTTAAAGCTCCAATATTTTTGTATATTTATGTTACAAGTTTATGGAAAGTCCAGTTCCTTTATTATCATTCAGCCTAAAAAAGGAATTCCATGAAGAAGAAACCTGGGATATGCACACACTTAAAATTCCCAACTTACACATCCAGATGAGTCTGACAGGAACAAAGTTATTGCTCCTACAGTCTGCCCAGCTGGAGTCCCACTGAAGTCAGTATGACTCCAGATAAGCAAGAGATGTAGGCTTGCTGTATTTGTTTGCAGTACTGGGTCTGGAGCATTCTGTGAACGTAAAATCTTTTTGCATCCTGTAATGAGTTTGCTGTCTGAGAGTTTCAGGTTCTCTGCTTGCTCCAGCGAGCTGACCTTGATTACAAATACAGTAAAAGCTGTGTTATCTGCCACTTAATCAGCTGGAAAGCTCTGCTAACCAGCGTCCAAGGGACGCGGCAAAAGCAAAACCAGAAGTCCCACTTCCAGTTTCGCCACCGTGAGCTGAGCCTCTTCTCCTTCACTTTTTTGGCCCAGAGTAAAGCAGCTTGAGTGGGGCAAAGCAGCCTGTGTTGGGGCCCCCTTCCTGTCCCATGGCACACTGGCACCAGGGAGTGCACCAGATGGTGCACATTTGATTAACCGGCATATTTGATTAACTGGCATACCCCATCCTAGCGGATGATGGATAACAGAGCTTTTGCTGTAGGTGATTTAAGTGGAAGCAAAACAAACTGTTGGGGAGTAAGGTCCTTTCCAGGTTTACAGCTGGAACAATTCTACCTGTAGAAGAGAGGAAGGAGGTATCTCAGTTTGCTGTGGTACAGGCTACCAGAAAAGGTTGTAGAATCTTTCCTTGCATCAAAAGGGAAAGTGATGCCTTTCAAAAGTTTCTCTTCTAGGCCTATTTATTGGAGCAAATAAATTAATTCTCTAGCTTGAAAGGTTACTACTTACTAAATTGAAGAAAAAGTCCATTTTTTTTTAACACTTCAGATTCAGTTTCACTAATTCTCCCATCGTGATGGGGTAGACAAAACCTAGATTTATAATGTAAATATCAAATACTTAAGGTTTGAACTCTTCAAGGTCTCTTTATACTACACAAAAAGAGAACAAAAGCCCACTTTTTCTTCTTGCAGATCACCATAAAGCATCTTTCTACTGAATTATTTGGAAACTGTTCAAATATATCACACCAACTGCCTTTAAATAATTGCATGTGACACTACAACATGGCTGTTAAATAGCTCAGTAGGGCAATATTCTCTTCTCTCTCCATTTGTACCCCACACCAAGTGATCTCTTGGGCCCTTGATCTTGACTTCCCTGTATAGCACACTTTCTGTCTTTTACTTGTGGGGTAATGCAGTGGTTCTCTACCTTTTTTATACTGCAGATCAGCAAACTCACTCAAAGAATGTTTGTGGGCTGGGTATAGAAACAATTTATTTTACACATTTAAATGTGTACCTGGGTGCAGGTTGGGGCACTGCAGCTGCAGGCACCAGAGGACCCTACGGGGTGGGGGCTGTGTAGGCAGTAGCCCTGGGGGGACCCAGCTGGGGCTGCTGTGGAAGAAGGGGCTCCGTTGCCTTCCCTAGGAGCAAGCAGCAGAGTCACCTCCCTGCCCTGGGCATTTCCCTGCCTGCATCCCCCTGCTCCCAGCTGCAGGCAGGGCTGCAGGGTCTTGCCTGGCCCAGCACAGGCCCCGATACCTTCTGTGTGGGTAGCGCTTTGCCGGGCATGCCCAGGGTGGCAGGAGTAAGGTGGGGTGCACAGAGCCAGCTGCCTCCCTCCCCGGGGCTGCCCCGCTGCCCAGCTGTAACCCTGCACATGACTGCCGGCAGCAGAAGCCACTTGCCCAGGCAGACACATGGTTCAAGCGGGGGGTTTGTGTCACTACCCAGCAGCCAACTCTTTGTGACCCGGTACCATGCTACGGCCCAGTGGTTGGGAACCTCTGGGGTAATGGTCCAGTGTGAAGTTAAAAAGCAGTGGTGTCTCAACACTAGACTTGTAAATGGGTGTTTCTGAATAATACTGACCCTTCATACAGTCCTTTCCTGACATCTTTGTCTTGTTCCCTTACTGTTCATTTAAATGGCCAGCACTGCCAAGCAGATACTGAAAATACACAAGTTCTTGTTCCACTTGTTTTCAGCGGGTTAAGATGTACTTGTTTGCATTTTATTTTATGGCATAACCTGCAGTGCTGTTTTCTGGGAGCATATGGGTATTTTTCTTCTTTTGGATTTTGGTTTACTGTCAGATTGTCAGGGAATTTGGAAACCTTTGGTATAAGCACAGATGTGATTACAAATTTTAAAGCATTTTGTATTTATAATGCACTGTCAGGTTAAAATTCAGTGGAAAAAAGTATCATTATTAATCAGAATACACATAATTAAATTTGCATAATGAGTTGTTTGTTTCTACTCTCTAGTGGAAAGACTGTTTCCAGGTCACAACTGATATTAGTAGGGCTAGCAAAGTGCTTATTTTATATTATGACCTTCCTGCAAACTGGAGCTAAGGGATAGGGAATAATAGGGGTAGTTCTTGGTGAGATTATGCACTAATTAAGTCAGTTACTAAATGAAATTGTGCAGCATGTACTTAGATGCCCAAAAAACTACTCTGAAAGATATCGTTTTATGTGGTATTTCTCTGCTCAGACATCTTAATTTAAGTACATAGGAGTACCTACCTAAAGCTAGATCAAGCATGGAATTTTGGTAATACCTCCATGTTTATCTGAACAGGTGGTCAGTCATTCTTCAGCCGAAAGGACTCCATCCGAACCATCTACACATCTCTGCATAATGAGCTGAAGAAGGTGGTGACGACGGGTCGCAATGCGCTAGGAGGAACAGCTCCTCACTTGGAAGAGCTGCTTTCTCACCTGTCTGAACAGCTCTGTTTTTTTGTTCAGGCTCGGATGGAAATTGCTGACTTCTATGAAAAAATGTACACCCTCAGCTCCCAAAAATTCATTAACTCTGAGGAACTGGTAAACATTTTGGAATCCATTCTAAAGAAATACAGCTCAAGGTCAGTGCTTATTTGTTGGTATTAAACACTCAGATTTTTCATGATGTTTTCTGATAAGGAAGATGAGGCCTAAGCAAGTTTCTTTCTGCAGGAGTAACAACCTTGCTTAAAAGCACAAGACAGCAACACAGTTCTAACTGCATGCATTAAACAAATGTTAGATAAATCTGATACTAGAATGTGATCCCTTTTAGTAGGAAAATGAGGATGCTTCTGCTCATCACAAGAAAAGAGCTACTAGGTTGTTTTTTGCACTTCCTGAACAGGGAGCATCATCTTTGTTTTAAAGGATGAAAAGGGTCTTGCCATATCAGTATTTCATGAAAAGTGTGTGCTCTACTTGTTGTACTTGATATCATTTACATGTGGCTTGTTTTACAAGTCCAAACAAAATTCTTTACCCTCTTTTTTTCTTTTTCTTTGTCATTTTTTTTTCATTTTAAAGTGATTTGGGCATAGGTTTAGTACCTGGAATATTTGCTTTTTTAATAGACTACATTTCATATCCCTGTCCCAGAGTCCTTTTAAATAATTTCAATAGACTTTTTTCTCTTTAGAACTTAAAGATAGTTGTCAGAGATGTAGTTCTAAATTATCCGCAAAACTGGCTATATTCTAAGGTAGAAGCCAGGTAGAGTTGCCCCTTAGACATACTAAATCAGATGTGTAAGCTTTTGTAAGCAACAGCTTGCTTCCTCAGATGCTATTAAAGGACTTCAGAGAGCAGAGTTTTTAACTAGAAAGCAGTGATTTGAATGCAAAAGATAAGGTGAGGGTGGGAAGAGAGGTGGCACTGCTGAGAGGGGCAAAAATGAGAGCATAACCTAAGGTCACACAGAGACCCCACAGTGGCACCTGTGCCATTCTTCCCAGCCTCATTTATACTGGGGAGGTTTCCGCTTACAGACTGCAGCTGCCACAAGGAAACTGCCAGAGTATGTGTGCACCCAGAGGCAGAACAGGGTAGATCTACAGCAGGGATGGCTCCTGGCCAGTGGCATGGCCAGCTGGCAGCCGCAACAGCTCTTATTTTTGCGCTCCCTTTTTTCTCCCCCAGAATTGATGCCCTGGGCTGCTGTCCCACCCCGTAGTTACCCTATTGTGTATGTCCATGCAGTTTTTGCCATTTCCATGTGGCTTCCGTCCATCGTCCATGCCAGCAGAGTGAAGTGCGCCCTGAGAAGGCACAGCACCTGGCAGAAAGCTTGGACATATCTACACACTCTTTCGTGTCTGCTTCTGGGGAGTGGGTGGCAGAAGCCATTTGGTTATTGAGTTTGTGTTACTCTGCTGGCAGAAAGGAGGGGTTCTGCTGCTGTAGAGCAGCTGAGAGTTGTGTTGGTGAAACCGTTTAGTTTGCATAAACCCTCAGTCAGTGATGCAGGAGATGTCTAGAGAAAAGCGGTTGCTGCTGCTTCTACCTTTTGGAGCAGAGCAGCCTCTGGGTATGATTTCCAGTCAATCTGTAGATTAGAGCAGCCTTCTTTTTTATCTGATCTGTTAGGATTGGCCTGATGCAGTGTAATAAATCCACTGCTGCTGCCACTAGGTTTCCTGGCCCGCATCTCAGTGTTTAGATCTCTGTTACAGTTAACAGATTCTCCAGGTCAGGAAGCAGTGTCACAGTAACTTATTTAACTAAGAGCTGCACATGCTGTATTTCTTGCATGTCAGAGTTATGTGGGAACAAATAACTTCCTACCAAACAGAAGTGAAAAAAATGATTGTTTGTTAAATACACCTGAGAAAATGTGCATCTACGTGCCTCTATCTGAAACCTAGAATGTCAGGTAGATTGAAGCTCTTTATTACCTCTTACTGCTAGCATGCAAACAGCCAGTGGTACAAGCTGTTTCTGTCTCTGTTTCAGAGAACATTGCTCCTCCAAGTTTGCTCTCTGAAAATCCTAAACTGTTGTTCTGGCTGGACCATTCACACAAATAATTCCTAAAATGATGCACAATGCCCAATGTTAATTAAAGCTTACAGTAACAAGCAAATTAAGCATAACTTCATGCTTTGAAGTGATGCATCTGTCTAATCAGCATTTCATGATTATGGCTGGAGAATGAAGGCTTCAAATTAGATGCAAGCTAAACATCACTTCTGTTTAGTAAACAAGGAAGAAGTACCAGAACCCTAGTATCTCTTTGATAGTGATTCAGCAAACTGGAAGTATATGGCAACATTTCTTAATACATTCCTGTGACTTGGAAAAGATTTTATATTTTAGTGTCTGTGCTTCCTCAAGACATTTCTGTGTTAGACTTAATTACATCAGATGTTTTAGGGACACAGCTGTCAATTTATTTTACAACCTGTGTATTTTCAAGCTAATAGTCATGGCTGAGAGATGGCTTCTTTGGATTACGACAGTTTAATGGATCTTGTTTAGAAGTGCACTGATACATCGGTCTGATATCAGATTGGCACAGATATAAAGAAAATTGACTGTATTGGAAATCAGCTTTTTTTCCCTGATGTGGCCCAATGAGGCTGATAAATGCCCCATGCATGTATGTAGCTGCAGTGCAGCATGTAGGCAGTGAGGAGCGTAGCCTGACAGCTTGGAGAGCTGCCTGCAGCTGGTAAGTCTGTTGTGGTGGAAGGGGAGGGGGGAAGGAAGGGGCGTGGCCTGGGGCAGATCAAGGCCCCCCATGGTCAGGGAGGGACTGGGGCTGGGAAGGCACTGCCCAGCTGGGGCTGGGCACAGGATGGAGCCACGGTTCATTGTGGGGGGCACAGGGAGGGGGAGCAGCTCCTGCTGCTGTGCACACCCCTGGAGGGCATGTGGGGCATGTGCCCCCAGATCTGTGTATGGGGCAAAGGCAGGCTTCTGCTGTGGGCTGGGGCTGGTGCTGTTCCAGACTTTTCCCAGTTGGGGTGTTGGACCAGGCTGTGCTTGGGGCGGGCGGCAGTGGCACTGGGAGGGGGGTTGAGGGGGCTACATAAAATTTTGGGGTGGCTGCAGTCCCCCCAACCCCCCCTCGCAGCGCCACCATCGCCTGCCTCAAGCACAGCCTGGCCCAGCCCCCACCAAGAATAGCCTGCCCTGCCCTGCGCAGATCTGGGGGCAAGCATCCCTGTTCACCCTTGTGCCTTCCCAGGGCGTGCACAGCAGCAGGAGCCACCCACGCCCCTGAGATGAGCCCTGGCTCCATCCTATGCCTGTCCCACCCTGGCTGGGCAGCACCTACCCCTGCCCCACTTCCTCCCTTACCACAGGGGCCTCTGTCTGCCCCCTCACCCCTTTCCTTCCCTCTCCCCTTCCACCACAATGGACTTACCAGCTGGACACTGCTCTTCAGGCTGTCGGGCTGTGTATTGGAAATTGGATCGGTATCGGCTGATATGCCTCCTTAAATATTGGTTATCAATATTGGCCCCAAAAATCTCTGTCGGTGCACCCTTAATCTTGTTTGTTATGTAAAGAGATGTTAAAACAGCTATTAGTCATGAAGCAAAGTAAAGTGGAAAGCTGTACCACAACAGTAATTCAAAAGACTTGGTAAAACTTTATTTGAATGATTTTTTAAAACTTTTTTTAAGGGTGAAAAATAATATTCATAAGTCTATTATTTAAAAGAAATTCGATGTTTGAAACTTCTAAAGTTCAAGAGTGGGGATAGCAGCAGTGGTTTTATTTATTAGCTATCGTGTCCATTTCTGTGTAAGAAGCAAATTAATTTTGTCAGGCAGTGAAGACAGTATAGCCTGTGTTAGATCTTTTGACAGAAATGTATTGTAACTAGCCCATAACTCTCAAAAATCTTATCACCCAGAGTTGCATACTATTTAAATATCTAGCAATATAGTTTTAGAAAATTAAATATTCTAGTGACTGGAAGAGAGAAATTGCAGTGTTTGTATTTATGTCAAGTGACTTTGCATTGATAAGAATGCTGTTACAATTTTTTTTTGGCAAACAGAATATTATGTTAATATTAACACAATTTTGGTATATTTGGAAAGGAATGATTGTTAAATTAATCAACACAGACTTTGACTCTCTAGCCTTTTTTATTTTTAGTGTTGCTTGTTTGAGAGTTGATGTACTATTTAATATAATTCTTCCACTGTCATGTACAACTTCTTTTATATTTCTAAAAATGTTCTTTTTATTTTGTGTGCCTGTTATCTAGATTTCATCATCCAATTCTCAGTCCCCTTGAAAGCAGCTTTCAGTTAGAAGTAGATGTGCTTGCTCATCTTCTAAAGGCACAGGCTCAGATCTCCGAGTGGAAGTTCCTCCCGTCTCTGGTCAACTTGCACAGTGCTCACTCAAAACTGCAGACATGGGGCCAAATTTTTGAGAAACAGCGGGAGACCAAGAAACACCTGTTTGGAGGACAGTCTCAAAAGGCTGTACAGCCCCCACACCTTTTCCTCTGGTTGATGAAACTCAAAAACATCCTCCTTGCCAAGTTTAGCTTTTACTTTCATGAGGCACTCAGCCGACAAACAACTGCATCTGAAATGAAAACTTTGACTGCTAAAACGAATCCTGATTATTTTGGGAAAATTTCCAGCTTCATCCGGAAATACGATGCTGTCAATGTTTCTTTAATCTTTGACAATCGTGGGTCAGAGAGTTTTCAGGGACATGGTTACCATCATCCCCATTCCTACAGAGAAGCTCCAAAGGGAGTGGATCAGTATCCTGCTGTTGTTTCCCTGCCCAACGACAGACCTGTTATGCACTGGCCCAATGTAATCATGATTATGACTGACAGAACCTCTGACCTCAATAGTTTGGACAAAGTTGTTCACTTCTATGATGACAAAGTCCAAAGCACATACTTTCTGACACGCCCAGAACCTCATTTTACCATTGTAGTTATTTTTGAGTCTAAGAAATCAGAGAGGGACTCCCATTTCATTTCTTTTCTCAATGAAATCTCACATTCCCTTAAGAATTCTAAAGCTTTTGCAAGCCTAAAGCCTGGATCCAAAGGCTAAAAGCCACATGGACTCAAGTATTGCCAAGGCAGTGTATTAGACAGGAAAATAAACGTTAACTTTTAAGGATTGTATTTATCCATGATTCTCAGAGTCTAATTAAAAAAGAAACATTATTTTAATATCTGTTTTAATTTTTTTATGGCTAACAAACACTTGAATCAAATTATTTTTTGGCAATGCACATGGAGATGACTTAGCTGTGGTGCACTAAAATGGCTGGGGGGGCGGGGTTTGCATGGTGCTCAGTTTTACAGTATGAATTATTTTTTCAGTCCATAACTTTGTTGCCTTTAATTAAATGGAATGTATGCACTTTATCTTGTTTATGGAAAACTTGGTTAGAATGGAATATATTGTTAGAATACTCTACTGCTGTATTAACTATCAGGAATGATGATATCTTGCTAATTCTCACCAACACCCACTAGAAATTATTGAAACTTGCCAATCTGAATGAACAGTCTCAATAAAAAAAGCCAATGCATCACAAAAAAGTACTTTTATTTTTGTAACTGAAGTTTACTCTTAATAGGTAATGGTACAAAAGACTTTAAAAAAATGGTAACAAGCATTTTTATGACACTTGCTATTACATGACCATTTTAACTTTGAACAAACTAAAAGGTGCACACTGGCCAAATAGAGCTGCAGCAAACCCTTCAATGTTTTAAGTTATTAATTATGTGAGCAATTGTTTTGCTGTCAAAACTGGGATAATAACTAACACTGTAATGAAATTGAAGGTGGTGTCTTTGAATGAAGCTAGTACTTCAATAGTTGTAAGTGATTTGCAAGAGTTTAGTAGTAAAAATAACTTGCCTTTCAAACAGCCATGATTACATTTCCTTTGTCTCCCTTTCTGAGAATGCATCAGAAAATGGTCCCTTGGAATAAAATTACTTGCAAGTACTATTACTTGCTGTGCTATTGTTTATTATTAGAGCTATTTTGTTCTTGTATCTTCAGGTCTGTTTCCTATTCTGTTTAACCTACTGGTTACTGGTTAAACAGAAACTGTAATGCCATTTTTAGTGCTGCTTTTCTCACATTTCTTCTTAACTTGCATTACATTTTTTTATTCTTTCAAACTATGGGTTTTTTGCCCCTTTAACATTTCAAATTATCCTGCAACAGGAGTGCTCTATTTCCTCTCCAGTTACTACAGAAAGATTCATTTGGCTGTACTTGTGGTCCTGTTTTAATGGCTGATCCTATCATGCTTACTGTGTGCAGTACCTTGCTTTACAAGCAGTTTCACTGGAAATCAATAGGGGCTAATCTCAGTGAGGTGAGATGTGAGTATGTTTGGCAAAATCAGACCCAGACTTAGGAAGTAGGAAGCAGCTGCAACATGCAGATTTACTTTGAAGTAGGTTATTTTAAGTTCAAATTGTAGTTGTCTGGTTTCATTTAAGACTAGAGACTGGATGGAGTACAATGAAGTACAAGAAGTCCAAAAACAGATTTGGATTTCATTTTTCTCTTATGGATGGATGTTGCTGCCTTCAGACAATTGACTTGGGCTGGGTGTTGCACTCCTGATGTAAATGCAACCATTCTCAGTCTTGCTGGCACTGCTTGCAGGTTTTGAAAAGACAAGACCTGTGAGTGCTTCTCCTTTTCTGCATTAAACAAGGCCACTGAGATTTCACTGGGCTTGTGTTCTAATACCATTTCTCTGTTGCAAGTGTCCTGGGCTTTTTCTCTTTGTGAGGCCATTGTTTTAGTGTTTGAAATGGTAATTTTATATTTTGCAAGTGGAAATATTAAGTATCCAGAGATGTGCTCAGCCACAAATAGACATGAAATGGTAACTGTCCATGTGGCTGAGGTGCAGCAGGTAGGTGCTGCCAGGGTTACAAGTGGAGCTGTGCAGTGCAGGGGGCCAGAGCTGGCCATGCTGGATCAGGTGATCAGGTCCAACTGCTCAGAGAAGTAAGAGGGAGGGGTAGGGAGAAGGAAGAGAATGACATTAAGCAGTGGTGCTCAACCTTTTGGCCCCGCAAGCCAGATTACTCATGTGGGGCTGTTCAGCAGGCTGGATTGGCCCATGGGGCTCAACTCCATCCCCTTCCTACTGCGCACATTGGGATTGGATTCTGTGGTTCCTGCACCACATCCTCCAGCCCCCCTCACCTGCCGGGATTGTGTTCCATGACTGGCGCTGCCCCCTCCAGCTCTTTGCACCTCCCAATTGGGTCCCATGGTCCTGATACTGCCCCCAAGAGCCTGGCACTGCCCCCTGACAGTCCTTGACACCAGGATTGGGCCATGGGGCCTGGCACTGCCTGCATGCTGGAATCAGGGGGCCCATCCAGTGCTCAGGGGCCTGGGGTTTTCCATGAGTCTAGAACCGTGGTAGGCAACATTTTTTGGCTGGAGTTCCAAAAAACCCACGATGTTTACCTTGGAAGGTGCCAGAGTGCCGACTTGCTGTAGCCTGGAGCAGCTGTTTGCAGCCTCCTGGCTGCAGCCGGCCCACAGAGCCTGGTCTGCATGCAGCAGGGCTTGCAGCCTCCCAGCTGCCTGCTGGGAGCAGCCTGGGCTCCGTGGCTGGTGGTGGTGCGCTAAGCAAAATGGCTTTGCATGCCATGTTTGGCATGTGTGCTGGGGATTGCTGACCCCTGGTCTAAAAATCTGGCAGGAGGGGAGTGGTGCCACTGCTCCTCAGTCAAAAATTTCTGGGGAGCCCTGTGGGCTAGATGATACGGTCCTCTGGGCTGCCTCTGGCCTGTAGGCTGAGGGTTGAGCATCTTGATATAAAAAAATACAGAATGGCTAATTGCAAAGCTTGAATCCAGGGCCCCACTGTGGCGAGGCCCAGTTCTGAACTTGGCATCTGGGCTGTTTCTGATGGGTCAAAACAAAAGCCCATCTCTGAACTGCTTAGAATTATGACACGCTGCAGCGCGCAGCATTTGGCACATGATATTCAGTACCTTAGCTCATAAGAGTTTTCAAAATGCCATGCAAGGTAAATGTATGGATTCTGCAGAGGTGAAGCTGAGGCAATATTAGATAAGAATAATGTGATGGAGTCACATTATTCAGGCAGATTTGCTGACCTGAGAATGGTTGTGTCTAATTTTATATTTTGGAAGTGGAAATATTAAGTATCTAGAAATGTGCAGCCACAAATAGACATGAATAAGACATAGCTTCTGCCTTAAAGACCTTGGACTGTAAATGGCAAATGGTGCAACAAAGGTGTAAGAGCTGTCATTTGTATGTATACAAATGTAATGTATACATTTAATAAGAAGCAACACTAATTAAAAGGTGGCAGAAGGAGGGAGTGACAAGATAGCAAGAAGATTATTCAGTTACCTGGCAAGTGTATACACAGTTGGCATTTTTATTTAAAAAATAAGAGAGAGTTTTAACCTTAGGACAGTGGTTTTCAACGTTTTTAGACTCTCAGTGTGCTGCTTGATAGATTAGAGGCATCCCTTGGAAAATGTCAGCTCTTAGTTTTCACTCAACTTTTGACTACAGAAAAATAATAAAGTGATTTTTCCTGTTGCAAATAGAAAGACCAAAAGAGGTCAGCATGCGGTTGACACTATGGATTCCTAGTCGAAATCCCTGGGTTGATCTTGTGAATCACATTTGCACATCTAACAGAGGTAACAATGCATGGTACCTCGCCAGCACCCTTGAAAGGATCTCAAGACACCCCATGATGCCAAAGCATCCTGGTTGAGCATCATTGCCTTAGGACCTAGTGGACTAATTCAATGTTTGCACTACTCCATCTTGCCACCTATTCCATTCTACTTCCCCAAATTAAGCATACAAGGTTTAAATACTAATGCACGTTAGATGTCTTGTATAAACTATTGCATCAGATACAAAATGTAAATCTACTTATGGTAACAGAGTTAGATCCAGTGCTTTTGGGCATATTTAAAAGATTTAAATTGTTATTGAGGCATTGATCTACTCAGTACCCACAAGTTGCTTAGAATAGCAACCTAAAAGCTTTTCATATTCTAAACTCTAAATACCCAGTCACTTACTTGAGCCCATGAAGATTCTAGTAGATGCTCTTAATTTAATACTGCTTGTTTCAGATGTGGATTTAACTGCAAAAAGTATTCTTGGATCTCTTGCATATTTAATACTTGTATCTTGTAAGGTGTTTCTACATGCAGTGTTTTCTTTTTCCTTAAATAAAATATCTTTCCAGCTCTACTTTTTGGTCTGAAAATGGAATATGGGGAGCTAAGACTGGCAATATGATGTAGGTTGGGCTGTAGGGAACTCTTAACATGAGCACAATGCTCAAGCTATTTAAACTTTAATGATGTAAAAATATGTTCTCTGTATCCCATCAGAAAGCTCCAAAGCCCAAGGTTTACCTAATTCACTGACACTAAATTTTTTATATCTTCTCATCAAATGCATATAAATCATTTCATGGCCATCTTCTAGCAGCCAGATTTCCCCTAAGGGTGCCCCTACAAATCTCTTCCTCTTCTTTTCTGCACCGTGCACTCTGTCTTCGAGTCTCTCTCTCTCACCCTGGTGCTGTTTCTGTTTGAGATGAGCTACTTAGGAATCTCTCATTTACGTAGATAGTACCTGGTGCCTCCAGAGCAACCTGTGATCTTCTGCTGTGGGACAGAGATGGGCCTCGGGACCCCCTAGCTTAGCAGTTCACAAACTATGCCCCAGGGACTGGATCTGGCCTGTTGAGCCGTGGCTTCAGCAGAATTTGGAAGCAGGGAGCGTTGCCCAAACCACAGCACAGCTGGGCAGTGGGGAGAAGAGGGGTCCTACTGCTGGCTCTCTCAAACCCGAGCTGGATCATTTCAGTCCCTTTTTAGAAAATGTTGCTGCCCTCTACCCCCTAAGTGAAGTTGCATGGGCACATCTGACACACATAAGCAATGAAGGACCCTGCAAATTTTCACAGTGTTAGATCTGCCTTTCCCTATTTCTTCAGTAGGGGATTGACATAAAGATAAATAAATCCTTCCTTTTTCAGGATCAAGGGTACACAGTGTCTCTCTGAAGCGTATTTTGTCTCCAAGGAGGAGCCCCTTCTGCTTTTTTAACATTACTTTTATTTACTGTAAAAAATATGCAGCTGTCTGGTCTCTCTTCTTCAGTTCAGTGACATGGAGCAAAGGTACATTTCCAAAGTCTGTACCCTGTACTGCAGTTTCTGGCTTTTAAATCAGGTGTTGTAGTAACTGGCACAAAGTTCTTTAGGTCACAGCTGGATGCTGAATGTACCCTGGTGGCATGTGGCTGAGATAAGAATAGTAAAGCTGCATCAAAGGAGCAGGCTAGGCTGTGGAAGATGTGTTGGGGCAGATAACAGCAGCTTTAGGGGGAAAGGTTGGGAAATAACAGAAGAAAAAGGACTTATTTTAAAGGTAAAATCTTCTAATGCATTGGCCCAGATGGGAGTGAAAGGAGGAAGAGGAAAGGGGGAGGGGGAGGAGGGTTCTTTCTTCAGGTGAAAGTTGCTACAGGATGAAAAATATTA